GAAGGGGGCCTTTAGGGCAGGGTCTCCGGCGAAGTGCCTTCGGTGAAGTTCCTTCGGGGAAAGGACTTCGGCGAAACAGTGAAACCCTCATAACGTTTTCAATGTGTGACACCTTGACTCAATTAGTGTCTTGTTGGAAAGAGCTCGCGACGCTTGTTCCAACGAGACCAAGAAGTCTTGAAACGGATAAGGCATCACTAAGTTGTGAGTGTCGGAAATTACTGATGGGAAGAGTTGAGGCGAGTTCGGCTTCGGACGTCTTCGGCTCCGGACGCCTTCGGCTGCGGACGTCTCCGGCTTCGGACGCCTTCGGCCGCGGACGTCTTCGGCACCGGAGTCGGCGAACTCGGGGTCGGCGAACTCCGAGCCGGTGAACATCGTGCAGAGGCCTTCGGCGCTACCAGATAAGGGGCCCTCGGGGGAAGGGCCATCGGCGAAACAGTAAAATCGGCATATCTTTTTCATTTGTTAACGGTTTGACTTGATTAGGGTCTCGTTGGAAAAAGCTTGCGACGCTCGTTCCAACGAGACCAAGAACTCTTCAAACGGATAAGGCGTCACTGAGTTATGAGCGTCGAAAGCGGCGGATAAGGTAATACAACATCGAACCGGAGGATATCAAACCGGAAGACATCCAACCGGCGAACATCGTGCGGGCGCCTTCGGCGATAACAGATAACAGGCTTTCGGTAGTGAATTGGCGAAGAGTAAAACCGGCATAACTTTCGCAATTCGTAACGGGTTGACTTAGTTAGGGTCTCGTTGGAAAGAGCTCGACCTGCTCGTTCCAACGAGCCCAAGAACTCTTGAAACGGAGCAAGGATCCGTGAGTTATGGGTGTCGGGAGTGACTGTTATAGATAGGCAAAGGTGCGGTCGTGCGTCTTCGGCGGGTGGATGCCTTCGGCGGTGCGCGGAAGAAGATTCCCTCCGGCAGAGATCGGGTGGTCAGGAATGTAGAATGTACAGGTGTGGTGGCGGCGGCGGCGTGAAGTCGCGCAGGGGAAGCAGGCAGCTACCCATCATTGCGGGTGGGGCATGCAGGCGGGCTGTGGGTGTCTCGGCCTTGGATTTTCGAGGTGGTGTGTTCGGCCTTGGAGCTGAGACCTGGTGGTGTGTTCGGCCTGGGAGCGGAGAGTTGGGAGTGTACCAGTGTGCGAGAGCTTGAGGTGTGCGTGTGTGGAGACGGAAGTGGTATCGGTCGTAGGATAGAGTGTGGTGTGAGCGATTTTTCGTAGGGAAGTGGTGAGAGTTAGGAGGGGAGTGTGAAGAGTTCAAAGTAGGAGGAAGCAAACTCTCGTGGGTGGAGAGTTGTATATGAGAGTGAAATTTAAGTGGGATCTGAGATTGAAGTGTAAAATTTGTGAGTGGGATCTGAGATCAGAGTGGAAAATCTGAGAATGGGAGCTGAGAGTGAAGTGAAATATGAGACTGAAATCTGACAGTCGGAATCTGAATTTGAAACTGGAAAGGGAGAGTTGAATCTGAGAGAAGAATCTGGTGGAGTCTGAAGGTGGAAGCTGAGAAATCGATGCTGAAATCTGAGTAGGAATTGGGAGTGGGATCTAAGAAAGCCCACAGCGGCTGTAGTATTGAGGAAGTCACCTAGAGTTGGGTTAGATCTTTATGTAACAAAGAGCTTGTCTGATGCTCTTGTGGAAATAGTAGGCAGCATGTGTTAGTTTCAGTTTTGGACAATTTGTCTATGGAAGAGCAAGTGTTTATCATCTCATTGCCTTGAATACACTGTGAGAACATGGCTTGTGATCAGAGAAGTTAGATTATGGGAGTTCGAACCCCCACCTGGACTACAAACGCTGAAGGGTGGGAAGGTTCGGCTCACACTCGTATCTCGATTTTTTCCCCTTCTTGAGAAATACATAGCGGATCTACCATTTCAATCTTATTCATAAATCCTATAATTTCCGGAAGAACACATCTAAAAATAGCCGAAGTATCTTGGCCTGATATAGATTTGCGTGTAACTTTTGAGCTCCCCCATATCTCGTATGCATTCTTGTCCGACTACGGCCAATATCGGATGACAGGTTACGACAAACATAACCATTAAGCAGACTGGTTGGTTTCGAGTGTCAGGACTTCATTATTGTTCATTTCTGGCGACGACGAAGGTGATAATGAAAGGCGAATTGACTGGCAGTCCCTCAAGTTCCAGCCCCCAGGACAATCCAAACGCCAAAGCTTCGAGGATGCTAAAGGAAGATGTCTCCCTCTTGCATGCTCCCAGAGTCCCCTTTCCACTACAGAAGTTTACCACGGCCATGTCTTCCAATTCTTCGATGAATCCGTGTGAATCTATGACTGATGAAGCTTGAAACCTTGGTTGTTAGTTCGCCTTTCACTGTCGAGAAATTGCAGATACCTGAGCGAGTCTTGATCGTTGAGCAGATGCACATGATCTTCGCTACATGGCACTAAGCCCGGTGGTAGGCGGAGAGAAGATTTTAAAGCCGGGGCCCAGCCGGTGGCGGAGAGGAGGCCATGCAGACATGATTATTTCAGCTTATCGACGTAGCAATCGATCTTCGACTCTCCCTCTTCTCAGCTGGCCACGAGTAAATGACGCTTCTCCGGCTCCTTTCCTGCTCACGAAACGACGTTTAGAACTTATAAGAGCGTGATTCCTGTTGTGAGTGTGTTTCTCGTTGATTGAAGAAGAGCTTGATCAGCTCCTTGGTCATCGTCACCAAGAGCGGAGATCCCTCGGTTCAGAGGCTAGTTACAAATTGACTTCTGATATGGAGAATTGTATACGCATTCTTCGGTCGAATTTTAGCGGCTCCCCAACTATTGATCGATTGGAGACTCATATAATCTGGGAAGAACCAGAGAGTAAGGATGTGCTTCTGAGTGCTTGTTGCAGCACTTTCCAGCATTCTACATGTGCTCCAACAACAAACCTTAAGAAGATTTTCTCTCTACCACCACTCTTCCGACTTTTCTCTTTTTCATCTCTATAACTACACGTGTTCTCACATTTTCTTTCTCTGGACAATAGAATGATACAGAAGCACTAGAGAAGCAAATTTTTTCCTGTTTCATGTCGCTGTTTAAAGTATAAGGCAACCCGCAATCCTCATTATTCAGCGAATTATTGTCACAGTGACATTAATTTCCTAGACTAAGCTGAGCTGTTATGGCGAAACTAGAGTGGAGGCTTTCAACTACAGATCAGTATTTGTAGTATTTGTCAAACAATTGTCAGCTTTAACTTGAAATTGTAGTGTCCAGTCGGAGATGCATGCATCAAATAAGCCGGAAGAGCGTACTTGAAATTCTCCATTATTCTTTATGATCTTGCACTATAATGTCTCATGCGTTTGGATAAAGATTCACGCCGAATACGTTCGTCCAAATTTCTTTCTCTCACTAGCCGTCGTCCAGATATTTCTCTTTATAGGCCTATTCTTGCTGTAGTTGCAGTCATTATATATCTCCAGTGCAACATGTGGCTCACTGTTATCGATGCATAATTCGTTAATCGTTGGACACCTCCATTGCGTCGTCCTCAAAACCTCTGTCGTCTTGACAACCTCCCCGTGGTGTTGTTTCATACTCCACGTCAAGTCAGTTAATTTAGCAGCTGCAACAACTTCAGATGTACCTGTACTTGCCATCGCTTTGAGTTCCGACCAAAAAAGCCTCTTCCATCCTCTTTTACACATTTTTCACTGACCTGACATGCTCGTGTAGGCCTTGATTACTTCGTTGATCCGATCTCCCTACCATACAGCCTTACAGTATTTTACGTTACAGCAGTCATGCTTCTCTCCAATTCCTTATGGCAACAAAAGTGAAGTATGCTCTGGAGCTGCAATTTACGCCGTCTATTCCTTCAGTAAGTCATTTGCATCTGAAACTTTTGGCTCCTCGCATGAAATTTGCACAAATGTTTTGTCGGACGGCTTTATTCGGAACGTGTCCTCCACGAGACTACAACTGTGTAACGCGCTGTTGAGCGCAAACAGTTCAGTCTAGCCTTGCCTTGAGAATTGAGAGTGATCGTCAGCGTTATTCGCCGTAATGTACTTGCAAATCTGGATCTGCATCACCTACCATATCTAATTGCAGAGGAATCTTGGTCTGCCTCTTGACAGTTCATACAAATATCATTGTGGATTGCTTTCATGATCTGATCCCGCTTTTTCCAATGCCATGATATCTGAAGCCATATTCATATCATGGAAAGGTTCGTTCCCACCTTTGTACATGCAAGAATGGAATCTGCGGCGTACCCGATAATTACGGATGCTTCGGTGCAGACGGCTTGTTGCATGCTCATCGTGGCGATTTCGTCGCAGGGCGACTCGCGGCCATGAACTCTGTTAGTGCATATATTGTTCGAGTATAAAATGCTGCAAGCTTCTATAAAGCTTCGGCGTAGGGACAAGCTACCAAATTGCCCACTGCCAGTTAGAAGGCAATTCTTCCGATATTCCTCGTTCAACTTCCCTCCGCGTTGCTGATTCCGGGCTCGATGTGACGTCAAACCTTCGAATTGGAATGTCCCATGTTCACCGGGACATTCAAATCTGGTCCTTTGCCTTCGCAGCTACTAACAGAATCAGGTTCTGGACACATCCATGGGTAAGAGATCCGACGTAGTGGTGAAGCATAAATTTAGCTCTTCTAGCGGGAAATGTGCGAGCATTACATCTACTACTAAAATCGAGTCTGCTCATCGGTGCCGAGTTTTTAATACCACATGCTTACGGCTCTGTCCTACAGTCAACAGTACGCCATCTAGGTGGACTCACCAAGATAAATTTTACAGCTAAAAGCGGTACACCCGATGGTGTGACTGATAGAGGGATAGTTCTAAGCGGGTTGTCAAGTTTTGCCACATCGAATCTGTATCCATTACAATTTGTAGACTTCGTTCTTGCCAGTTGTTCTGACGAATGGTCACAATCAACATGTTTGTGTGTGTTAGATGAGGGAGGATTCTACATCCCCAAACAATAGTAGACAGTGAGGGTCATGGATGATAGCGCAGGGACCCAGCCAGAAAATTTTCCAGAATTTCAGCGGAACCATGGAGAGCCACCGCGAGAACAGAATGAGGAGGAGGAGGAGCGAGCGAGACGACCGAATTTCCTACTGTAGCAACCAGCAGTTTCTTCTGTTTTCGTGGACATAAATCGTCACAAACGGAAAGCTCGTGAACTAGAAATGTCACAACAAAGCTCTGTTGAACTGGAGAAGTCATCAGTGACGGTGTTGACATCAGTTGAGACTAAAGAACGGGAATCGAATGCGAAGGAGCCCGATGTCGAAAATGGAACCCAGGTAATTGCGCAAATACTCTCAATCAACGGCACGACAAAATCTGATTTCTTGACTCGTGTTTTTGCGTTACAACTCGTGATTTACTGACAACTGGCAATAATGTCGTCAACAAACAATGGAGATTTCACGTATAGGTGTGGCTTGTGCACGTGGTTCACTGAAATCTGGTAAGAAGACCACTTCCCGTCTGTTTATCGGGATTGGAGAAATTGTGCTTTTCTTCCTTTCTTGAAAAAGTTCTTTGTTCCGAACCGCGAGAATTCTAAAAGCGCTCATAGTCCATCGTTCTGCGTCAGGGAATCTTATATTCTTCATTCAGTCTTGACTACTTGGTTGTTATCGAAGCCGTTCATGCGTCTGGTTTTACATAAGAGATTACTCTCCATCGAGCCGAATTCGGGTTGTTTTGAAGCTGCCACTTCATCTGATTGTAGTCGCTGATTGAGGTCTTGCATTGTTACTGACATCACGTTTTTCTAACTGAGAAGTTTATTGAACATATTGAAGGTGATAATATATGGTGATTGCTTCCTTTCCTATTTCTATCCTGCAACTCCTCATTTTGTTCGTTCCCAAGAGATTAATTGGAAAAAATGAATTCCAAGGCAACCTCCTTCAGAACTTTCGACCTTGGATTTGAAAGTGGGGTAAACATTAACGTTGAATGGAAATTGGAGGATCAGTTCAATCAGACCTAAGAAAATGCACAATGTTTTGGGTATTGTCGTTCAGAGAGCGAAGAATGACGAGGACGAATGGCCCTTCCTTCTACGCTTTCCCATGACCGTGTTCGGCATAACGATGGGTTTGGGAAGCCATGCTATAATGTGGAAAAATATTGCGCATTTGAAGTCGATGCGCACTTTTCACGTACCACGATTGATCGGCGCCATCTTCTGGTTCCTATGTCTTCTTCACTTGTTAGTTATCACCACGACATATTGTGCCAAACTCTCTAGATGGCCAAAGGTATGGTGTCCACTGAGTTCACATAGAGAATTGGAATATCACAACTCTCTATTCCCTATTCTTGCTGGTAGGACAGTGCCATCGGTATTTGTTCATGGCATTTTCGTTCGTGGTGGAGTAAAAATTAGTGGATAATTGGAGTAAAAATATATCTTCTAGATGGGATTCATGACAAGACGAAATGGTACGATACCATGCAGGCCGTTCACTTGGAGTTTCTACATCCGGTGAGATCGAATTATTTTGCAGCTCCCTTCATCTGCTGTCTGTTTCTCGTCATAGGTGCTCCCAGTTTTGCCACAGGAGATGGAAGCGGATCGGCGATAACTCCCTTTCTTGTCGTTCATGTGTGGGAAGCGTTCTTCTTCACAGGTATCGACGCCATCATCATTGGTTCGATCAAGTAGGAGGAAATGAATATACTTTGCTTCTGTGATGTTTATCAGCCCATGCACATAATGCAATCGTGTTTGTTCGTACAACTGAGCAGTCACCGCAAAGATACTGATACGTAAATCGTTGTTCGATCATGTCTGATCCGAATTCAGCTCCGCTGATTTTGTACGAGGTCCATCTCTATGGCCGTTGGCTCATGAGCAGTGTTGGCAGATTAAGCGAGATAGGCAATCCGACGACACAAATCGCTGTGGTTGGAAACTTCGTCAGTGCTACGACTTTTGCCTTGGCTGGATACAGAGAGATGGCCATCTTTCCGTTCACTGTTGGGTACGTTCCAACACGCTCTTGGACTTGAATAGTTCACCAGCTCATTGCTATGTCAAGCTTCTAAAGGTGAAAGAATGCCTTTATCAGCTCTTGAGGATGACCGACTGAGCGACTGATCATGCATGTTGCAGGATCATGCACCAGATGGTGGTTTTTGCAGTTATATTTTCCGGAATTCCTCCGAAAAAGGTCATTGGTGTGCAGCTAAGGCCTTCTTACTTTCTATTCGTAGCTCCTCCCAGCGTTGCTGCCGTGTCTTGGAGTCATATACAAGGGAGGGTCGATGACTTTGCCACCATACTCACGTTCATGGGAGTTTTTTTCCTGATCATCATGGTGAGATTAGCTTCTTCAAGCAAGGTTAAGTCATATGATGGGATCCGTCAGGCATTTGAAGATGTATACCAGGCATCATGCATGACACAAGGTTACGCTAAAAAGTTATCGTTTTGCAACTTCTCATGACAGTCAGCTGCTTTTCTCTCTCAACACTTTACGCAGGAGCTCTTGCCACAGCCAGACTTTGCTCGTATCAGACTCCGTACCTACTGATCCAGTCCCAAACCCTGCCATGTATACTGATATGGTTATATCCGCACTTTTCTAGGTCTCCCGCGCAAGTTTTTTCTTCACAGGAGTGAGGTACGTTAAATATTGCAGTGTCCCGCACGATCTGGAATTTCGAAAGTCCTGATGACATTGAGAAATATTTTTTTGTGCTTGACATCCTGCATAGCTCAACTGTAAGGTCTGTTGCTGGTACTTGGATATCGGAGGTAGAATCACAGCTGATATGTGCTTCCATCCGCTGGTGGTTGTCAATAGATCCAGTTGTTAGTGCGAACGCGTTGAAAAGTTGAAAGTAAGATTCTTGAGGGAAAGGTCTGAAGCTGGAAGTACCTAGAATTGGCTGCAGAACATTCCCACTCCAGATTCATAATGTATAGCCATGTAGGATTCCACGACGAAAATTGATTGAAGTATCATCCCGAGTGCAGGTTTTCGTTGGCGTGGTGGGCTTTCACTTTCCCGTCAGCGGCCATAAGCATAGCAGTCATGAATTACGCATCTTCTAGATCCATCGATCCCCCACATATGAACGTCCCAAAGATATTTTCATTCGTCTTGGTTCTTTCTGCTAGCCTAATGTTGATAGCCATATACGTATGTACCTTCCGCCAAGCCCTTTCAGGTGAACTTTTTGGAAAAGACGAGGTGGTGAAATCTGTTGTCCACGTCTCGGAAGAAGGTGGACTTGAAACTCAAACATTAGCATAAGAAGAAACTCAGATCATTTCTGTATTCAAGTCTAGGGATCATAGATTATGCGATCTAACCAAGTGAAACAGATACCTTAGGACTGATTGTGCCAATCTTTCCACTAGTCCGTGAGTGTTGAGTCCCAACGCTATGTATAGTATGTATCAAATATTAGAATTGTCCATTTACTGATTATAATTTATAAGCAGTCTAACTTATCCCCAGTTTGTAGATATACTCGCGTCTGATATGGGTTGATTGAATCTCTGGGCTAGAGACTGACGTTTGCTGGAAGGCACACCAAGTGTTTTCAATTATTGCAACGTGCATCAGTTAATTAGAAGTAATTTCGCATGGATTACTTGATGCGGAAGAATTGTATATTTCTTTCGGACTTGGCTGGGCTGGGTTGTAATGGATCATCCAAATTACAAAGTTCAAACTGAATCAATACTGTGATTTTGCAAACCATCCCTGTTGAGACCCTGAGGCTGGTGATGTATTATGTTAGATATTGTAGAAAGAAGTTTTTATCTATACCATTGTAAACAAACACTAGTTGTAGGGGGATTTTTTTCTGATAAAAGTTTTTAATGAATTTAATGAAAATAGGCTAGTCTTGAAAAGAATTTTATATTTCTAGTTTAGAGGTATATGACCACATATTGTACCGCTGACTTGGTTGATCAACTTAACATTTAAATTTTCAATATTTCAAAGTCTCTTACTCTACAATGATTTGAAAGTACAGTATTATCCTATTATCCAGTTCTGCACTGCGAAGATATTCATAAATAATTTTTTACATAATGATAATAGAAGAATACCTGTACTGTAAATCAAAATTTTCTACAGCTATATGTTTTGCCATTGCATTTTATCTAAGTCACATCTTTTGTACATGTCGAGGTCGATTTGACCAACTCTTTTGTTAAATTGGAGCTAATTATGAATACACGTTATTACAGCAACACCCACACTTTATCGGTGCCAGAGTCGCTGATTAAAATGTGGAAGTATCTTTAATGCTACCCCGGTGCCCTAGGTAAACCACTGATGTAACAGCAAATTCTCACTTCTTGGGATGTATCTTCAGATCAACTTGACTAAATCGCTTGAACAACTCTTCCAAGTGGGCTAAGTGTTGTTCAAATCCATGGCTGGTAACTAAAACGTCTATCAATGTAGCGTTTCAAGAAAATTGCACCTTTTAACACCTGGGTCATGATTCTTTGGAAGAAAATAGGTGCATTCTTCGATACAAAGGGCATCACAAGCCATTCATATAGCCTATTGTTTCCATGAAATGCTATCTTCTTGCGATTCCAAACAGTAAGTACAATTTTGTTGAAACCTTGCCTCAGATCCACGATAGGAAGGATGTCTTCTAAGTCTCTAATGCTATCAAAAAGCTCCTGTGAAATGGGCATAGGGTAACTATCTTGAGGCGCAGCGGCGTTAAGAGGTGTATAGTCTCCACACATACTCTTCTCAGTCCAAAAACCGCTGCTATTTTTCTTTGCTAGCATAACTGTAGCGGCTGGATGAGTCCTGCGTCATGAAGCTCCTTCCACCTCTCATCCACCCGCTGCCATTCATGTTTACTCAGGCGATGTCTTCTCCTATAAATTGGTTTCTTATCAACCAAATCATTTGAGAATTTTATTTCCTTGCACTTAACTAGGTCCTTCATAGAGAAAGCAAACACTTCCTCGTATTTAAGTAGTAAATTTAGAAACTGATTTCTTGTATCTTGCTCAACTGATTGCCCGTGATGAAAGTGTAGTTAGCCACACATGGGACCAAGTTAGGATATGTGCTTGATGATCCTGATGTGTTGACTTCTACGCTGCCCCAACTGTTGGCTTGGCGATGGTCTCCTAGATCATCAATGTAGTTGATTGTAGCTACCGCTGTGTCTGCATGAATTGATATGAAATGAGAACTGCTTTGATTGATTTGTGACAACTTAAGCGTACATTCACCTGGATCAGAATCAACTTTTGTTAAATTGCATGGTATCTCCTTACCCAACACTTAGCTTGAAGTGCAAAGTGTTGAATAACCTGGTCGGGATGCCAATGAGAAGCATCATGTGCTTTTACCTTAGTTCCATCCCCGCTAGGTGCAAGATACATCTGATGAAATGCACATGATCAGCAACCAAGCGAGTACGTTCAGACCATCACTCTAACCAAGAATGATTTTTGCTTCAACCTGGTCACCTTTGTGTAGTCTGTGGTATTTGGATGAAATTACATGGCCCTTTCTCTCTCCTCAAAGCTTGGCTCATTCCATTTACCTGTAGTGGGACAATACACAAGTCATGGTCCATCATCTTGAAAAGCATGGGCACCTTGAAAGGTTACAAATGTGGGCCAAGCACCTCTTGGCTTACCAATGATGTTGACTGAAAACCAATGTGCTTTCTCTTGCTTGGTAACTGGTTGGCATGAGCTATCTGCATCCAATATTTAAGAGACCCGAAGTCTAGGATCTCGGGTTGTGTTTCTCAGAGCTCACTCCAAGAGAGAAATGGGTGCCAAGTTGGTCCAAAAATTTCTCAGCCGGTGAGCGTAAGAACCGCATTGCACTGCATCCACCAACAGCGGGTTACCAAGGTAATGTTGGATCAAAATGCTATCCTATTGGACCTTTTCTCTTTGGTCATACTGAGCTGGGATGTTTTCAATGACATAATCAACAGCTGGGAACAGCTATTGGACCCAAGTAATGATTTGAACCAAATCCATGAAAAGTCCAGACGTGTGATCAGCCAACCCGACTTCAAAACTAGCTGAAAAACCTTGACACTACCAACCTCCAATGATCAAGTCCAAGGAAACGAGAAGGCCAAGATGTTGTTGTTGTATGAGCTGAATATCATAGGGAAAGAATGTGAAGCTTGCCTTCCATGGAGTGGTTGGAAACTGCTGCGAAAACCTAGTGCTAAGCTTCCACATGCCACGTTAAGTGCACAAGAATCAACATCCACATAAATATAGTGTCTTACCACTATACCTGATTGCAAGAGTTCCTCCAGACTTGTAGAAATACCACCAAACAACTCCAATACCATCATTAATGGTTGAATTGTCTCCTTGTCAATTTTCAGGTTTTTAAATTGGTGCATGGCTGTAACTAAGAGCACGTGGGCCGCCTTGGGTAAATACGTCGTTAGTATGAAATTACGCAGTACTTATGAATAACAAATTATGGACGCTGACATGGAATATCTGGTTTGCAGCCCAGAGCAGTCCCCACAATATTTTTTTTCAACAGGAACTCCTTCTCCCATATATAGAAAGCGGTCAGTTTTTCAACCTTTCTTAGATTACGAGTGTTGAAAATGGTAATATTGTCACTAAATGGTAGCGTTTGAGAGTATTTTGTCAAAACACATGGGACTCGCAAAGGAAGGAACACAGTAATGTATTGAGCTAGGGTGAAAAGCACAAGAAGAATTTGCATGGGACCTGCGTGTAATAACCGCATGACTCGCCCTATGGGACGAGGACTAATTTGTTGCGTAGTCGTAATATGCCTCCTCGCTGACCCAGGACTGCACTGCGTCCGCTGGGGTGCTCGGTCCACTGGACCAGTATGTTCTCCCCATATGGCAGTAGAATACGATTCCAGCGTGGTGTCCCAGGTCAGTCTCGGTATGCCTTGATTCAGCTCAGCTCGGGCATCATTGTGCGGAGTGAAGTACTGGTTTTCTGTTGATTGACCCTGGGAGACATTGATGATGCTAGACACTGTAATTTCAAGAGAAATTTCAAATATAATTACATGTATGAATTTTCTTAAACATCATTCATATGTTATTGAAATGAAAGATTTCATCTCAAAAATAAAATATTTACATATTTTATATTGTTACATATTGTTATTAAATATTTACATAAATAAATATAAGAGACTGGATATGTAAAAAGAAAAATGATATCATGGGATTAGTATTAATGTATGATTAAGTTGATTCAAGTTGGTGCTACCATTAGACTTTCTTAAATATACAATAGTTGTAATATTAATGCAGATTGTTAGATTTATTCTACGCATTCAATGTATGGTCAGTGATGAGCATAAAACTAGACCTTTTTTTTTCTTCTAATAATTTAGATCAGATGTTCAGAAAAAGTATGATTCAAAATTATGAAAAAATCACTAGAAAATCTTTAAAACATATAGTTACATATTTCAGGTTCTTCCTAGTTTGAAAGTATTTTATTCCTCAATTAAAAACAATAATAACTCAATTCCAAATCAACAACACTGTCGGAAAAATAGGTTTCTTTTTATTTTCAGAAAAAAATAATCTAAAACTTTGGTTATGATAAGTATAGAATAAAAGTCTAAAAATGGTATATGTTCAAATGAAATGCATGAAGAAATCGATGTTAAAAAAAGACACTCCACATATTTCATGTTTTGAAAGAAAGGAATCAACAACTGTTCAAATTCGAAATGCATACGAAAAGTCCATACATTAGAAGTGATCATATTCAAACGAGTCAAGATTATGATAGAACTGAAGGCACAGTTATTGAGGGGGCAGCTCCACACGAGACAAAGCAAAGCAAGCATTCTATATGTAGAGATATTTAAAGATGAAGGCTTAATGTCCCACAGACTGATGCGTCTTAGAATGACTAAACAAGTCGAACAATATAGAGATGGTAGACCGTCCTCGGCAGAGAAGAACTATATACGACTGAAGCAGGCTTTGAACTCTGGAGAGAAAAAAGTCCATTCCTTCTCATGCAGCATTCAGTGACTTCTCGCGTGACTGCGTGTACACTGCAAAGTGAATGTGGAAGCACTCTTATGTCAAAAAGAAATATCATGGTGTGTGATAGAGCTGAGATGGAGAGTGAAATTTGGATCTCTGAGGAGAACGCCTGCGAATGGCGGGCCGAGCATACACCGAGACGACACCTGATATGTTTTCGCCGGACACTGCGTTATTATCACTAGAGAGCCCGCAGATTGCCTGAGAAGTCGAGGAAAGTGCA